TAAACCGTTTGATTAATTATATATATATATGAAAAGACATCCATTTATCACACCTAGGTGTACATAGATTACAGTCCAACAATCAAATAGTAGTACTCATGTATCACAGCATTCATTAGAATTCGAATATATGTAAACTGGAATTAACGGTACTTAGAAACGAAATTTTAACAATATATTGTTATAATGATTATTTTTCACCCATTTCTTAGGAAATCACAAAAAATTATAATTGAGTCGCGATGGCTCAGGGAATAGAGCGTTCACTTTCCAATGAGGTGAACCGGGTTCAAATCCCAGCGATGGCTGGTAGATGCGAATTCCGCATCCGGCTTTCAATGACCGCAGTGCTGACGTAAAATATCCTCAGTGGTGGACGGATCATGGGTTAGAGTCTCCTTGGCATCAGGCTAACCGTGGGAGGGTTCTTGTGGTCTCCATGTAACGCAAATGCGGGTTAGTTCCATCAAAAAGTCCTCCACGAAGGCAAATTTTTCTCAATACTTGATCCAGAAATTCCGTTGCTTTCTGGATTATTTTCAAAATTATAAGGCTACGGAGTTGAGCATTAGTAGTCGTAAACCCAACTTTATGTCGGCTGTTCAACGACGGTAATAAAAAAACTAGTTCCAATATAAAATGTTTAAAAAAGAAAGAAATGTTTCATATGCTCCCTATTTCGGCAGCATATGGTAGCAGCTGTTCATTATAAGCTATCTTTGCAAATTTGTTCATATACTTCCTATTTGGTAATTCATGAATGACATTTTACCGTTGTTTCGCACAATATGGAGTATATGGAGCCAATTATGGTTCGAAGTAGAGGTTAGGCTTTCGTGAGGCTAATTAAATCACTAAGTGAAATAAAATGGTTTGGAAGTTAAAGTAAAGATTCCTAATTACAATTTTTTGACTTCTTTTGTTTAATTATCGATCGTCGTTTTGAGTTAGTGATGTCACCTAGCTTCCAAAGTTTTTATCTTCTTCTTCAAATCCTTCTACAATATTTTTAAGGGAAAAACATTGCTCAGTTATCACCATTTAGAATTTTATTTCTTCTTTTTCATCACCAGTGGCCTTGGTGTAATATCACAAATATAACTTAGTTTTCAACATTAAATAGTGCTTCATATACTATGAAGAAATGTATGGTCAAAACTACCAGAATATAAAAAATTTACTGAGGCTCTATCAGAACACCAAAAAGTACGGTAATTTCTAACTGTAGCTCTTTGGTAATGATTTTAGGTGAAATTACAAATAAAGTATGGTTTTACTGTCATGCCGTTTTGTAGAAATTCTGGTAAAATTTGGAAATTTCACCAAATAATTTTAACTATACAAGTATAATTTCTACATAACGCAAAAAAGTTAAGTTTGATTACCTCTATTTTTAATAAACGTTTGTTAATATCTGTTCTTATTGGTGTGTTTTTCATTTGTGTGTAAGCTATAAGCTAACGTCTACGAACCTTTAAAATTATATTGTTCCAAATGTAGAGAAAATATGGAAAAATTACAGAATAAAAAAAAAAAAGAATAAGAAAATATTTGAAAAAAAAATAAATATCCGGAAAAAAGACACAATCTCTTCATCAGTTCACACGATTATATCCGCAAAAATGAGTGCTATCTAATATTGTATCAATATATCACTACAGTAGTGTTAGAGAACTCATAAAAATTTTTGAAGCAAATATAAATAGAACACATTATGTATCGCGTAAAACACAGAAAAAAAATGTAAAGAAAAACTAAACACAACGGGAAAATTTTCAAGAATAATTTAAAATATTTTCGTTATAAGATTGCCATATTACAAAATATGAAAACAGAAGCGCAAATTGAAGTCAAAGCTTAAATAGAGGGATTTTGTCTTATAGCGCGTTCTTACTGCAGGCACTGCAGCGAGTTTGATTTGTTGATTTGTTAGTTAACAAGGATGGGCCCGGAAATGGATGTGCGCAAGGTAATATTATACTGCATAATTTAAAGAAGTCTATAATTAATAAAGTGGAAAGAGAGAGAGAAAGAGAGATGAATTGCCTCTGTTGCGCATATTTTTAGCCATGGAGTTGCACACGGAAAAGTGCACACGGAAAAGTTCTTAGTAAATTTATTTACAATAACATACAATTACCTCTATGATTTTATATAGAATTTAATTTCTTTAGTTGGGTATTCATTGTTTTTTTTAATCAAATTTTGAAAGAGTTAGTCTATTTGTTTTTTGGATAAATAAACATTACTACATATTATTTCAATTTTACTCATTTGATTAAAAATGGTATTTAAACAGACGTTTTTAGAAACATTAGAATGCCAAGTTATTAGTTTATTTATATTAATATTAAAATAATTTCTTTTATCGTATAAATCAACAAAGCAGATATTTTCTTCTTTTATAATATCCAAATCCAAAAAATTAAAATTAATATTATCATCATGATTACGAAGCAAGATTAATTCCTCGGGGTAATTATTATTATTTTTAATTCTTCGAGGTAATTTTCTTCGGTTTTCTCTTTTTCCTCTTTGACCTTTTTGTATTTATTTATTGTATATTTTGTATTTATTTAATCTCTGAGGTAGCAGGTTCAAACCGTTGTATCTATTAACCAATATTTATTTACTTATTTTTATTATAAAATTTTCGAATTAAAAAAAAAGTAAGATTATAAATAATTTAACAAGCTTTCTTTTGGAAGGATAATAACTATTTAGTGAGGATATTTTTTGATGATATTTCTTTCTCAATAAATAATAAAATAATTTATAGCGATCAAAGGGCAAAATAATCTGTAATACCGTCATGTGGGGCTACTTTGTGCAGGATTTCGCAGTTTTTGAACTTTGACATGTAAAAAAACTATGTTAATTCAAACTTTAGTAAAATGTATCGATATTATATTCATAACTGGACTCAGACGAGTGAATTTGATCAATATTGACATTATTTGTAGGTAATATTTACAAATAATAAGTCAAAACATACCTTGCACAAAGTAGCCCCCAAGTGGGGCTACTTTGTGCAGCGATAGGAATTCAGTTTAATAATCATGTTTTTAGTAAAATATTGATATAAAATTGATGAAAAAGTTAATTGTTGACATTTTAAATAACAAAAACTTCAAGATATGTAAAGATATTAATTTGAAAATCATTTTCAGCGTTAAAAAACCATTTTTTATGAAGAATTTTTTCTTAAAAAGAATGCTTATTTCAAAACATATGAGTTTAAACCATATTGAAATAGATGAAATTTCAAAAATAATAATTATTACATATTCATTAACATTTATAATATTGATAAATTTGAACATAACATGTCAGTTTCAGTCAAAACTTCAACAATTCAGTTTCTGTCAAAATCACCTGATGTCCTATAAAATATATTTTTATGTGTTAAATCGTTTGATTAATTCATTAGAAAAATCTTTGTAGAAGAAAAATAATAGTTTACCAGGAAGTTTCACGTGTTTCTTGTGAATTTTATTAGAGATAGTATTTCTGTGGATTTTGTACTTCCGAGAAGCTTCTGCAATCGACATACCACCA